ATCCACACAAATTTGTAGACAATCCTGAATTCACCAGCCCAACAGCAAAAAAAAAACAAAAAACATTTGTCATCATGAATCCAATTTGTTTCCGTCGATGTAAGAGAGTCCTCCTTACCCTGACTCCTGTCGGGAGAAGTTGATCAATTTTGTTGAGAGACCAGCTGAACCTTTGAAAAGAAAAACACATGTTAAGATAGAAGCAACTACAAATACAAATTATTCATTTGCATTCATTATACTATTTATTTGATTAAATGAGTTCAGTTTGTCATTCAGTAGGCTAAGCCTATAGCAGCATAACTAAGGGATAGCTCAGGAAACCCAAGCCGACCCTAACTAAAGGATTTATCAAAAAGGAAATCTTAATCCCAGTCTTAAAACTGGACAATGTGTCAGCCTCACGGACACAAACTGGAAGCTGTTTCCACAAGAGAGGAGCCTGAGAACTGAAGGATCTTCCTCCCATTCTGCTTTTGGAAACTCTAGAAACCACAAGTAAACCTGCAGTCTGAAAAAGACATTCACATTTCTTCCTGCTTAAGAGGCATTTACAAAGAAAAGAAGTAATTTATCAATGTTGACTTGCACCTGATGCACAAATACAACGTGCTGAACCAGGAAGTCAAACAGACTTCATGACTGGAAAGCCGTGCATCACTGGAGGTTGTGAGCTTGTGTGTCCTGTTTGGCTGATGGATACGAAAATCAGTTTCCAGTTGAACAGTTTACCTCAAACGGCAACAAAAAGAAAAATGGTTGTTGATTTGATTCCATGGATTCAAAAATATAAAAGTAGATTTAATGCCTGTCTGTGTTCGTACAACAAGCTTGTCTTCTGCAAAGAAACAAAATGATTTTAGATTGTTGTCAAATGTTTGTGTTGCTTACAGTTTATGTTTATCTTCTTTCAGCTGCTCCCTTCTGCAGGGCTCACCACAGCAACCTTAACAGATGTGGCTGCTGTTTTACGCTGGATGTCCTTCCTGCCACAACCAGACCGTAGCACCGACCACCGAGCTGCTGCAGCTCTTTACAGGTTATGAAGAAATCTTGGAATATTTTGAACCCCCCTTTAGGTTTTTGATGTCACAGTGCAGGGGTTGGTAAAAGCCGAAGAAGCTGTTGCATCATGTTTATGTTTCACCAGAAAATGAGAAAGGCATGAGTCAACAACAACATTCTTAGTTGATTTAGCTAATGCTCACAAAAACTTCTTCTCTGAGTCATGCAAATACAAAATATTTAAAATGTTTAGAAGTCTTGTCTTTGCGTTATGAATTGCGCAACTCTTTCAACCTAAGGCCTTGTTCACACAAAACAGTTTTCAAAACAATATGTTTATTTGTTGTTGTTTTTTTTTTTAAAAAGGCTCATGAAGACGGGACTGCTTTCACACCAAGTGCAAAATTAAATAAAAAGAAGAGGACGCCTTCTGGTTGAAAGCCTCTGGTCCTTATCCTCACAATGTTGCATTAGTCTGTCTACACATATTTTTTATGCTGGAATCCATGTTTTATTTTCATCTTTTATTATTATTATTATTTTGTTTTTGTAATTATTTAATAGCTCCTAAACTGGTGATTCTATGTGAAGGCAAGGCAGAAACAATAAGCTTTTGTGTAATCCCCAAAAAATGGCAGGCGCCTATTTTTCCCTTAAGAACCAACGTTTCAGCTGCTTCCTTTTTAGCTGTTGTCTCGACTTCTGCTTGATTATTTCAGCCAATGAGCCAAATAAAGGGTCAGAATGACACAGAACAGACTTGACCGGTGAGCCTGGTTCCAAAATAATGAAAAGTGCATGAACATTGTCTTTAGTTCGAATCTCACAGCTGTAATGTTTAACAGAATACTCAGAGATGAGGACTGAAGAGAACAGATACATGATACATTTATTTACAAGAGCTCAAAGTCAACAAAACGTGCACGGGGAGGAGCTGGAACCCCGAGGAGCAAGGAGGCGAGCTACTATATCTGGAGGAGTGATACTTGATGTTGCTTCTTTTTCTTACAAGGAGGACTGAAGTCAGTCCAGGAGACAGGTGATCCAGTGGTTCCAGAACAAGGAAGGAAGACGTCAGGTCAAGAGGTACAGGAGAGCTTGAGATCTTACAATGGAAATCCAGGACAGGTGGGTGACAGAGGTAATGTTGATAACACATAGGAACACAAAGTTTAATGAATAATAATAATAATGAATTTAATTTGTAACGCACTTTTCATTAACAAAAATCTCAAAGTGCTACAGAGTGCAACTAAAATCAATGATAAAATCAACTAAAATCTGTGATAAAATCAACTAAAATCAATGATAAAAGATAAAAAAAAGTTTACAAGTAAAGAGCCAGAAACCCAAAGACCATTAGGCAGGTAATGCACCAGTGCTGACTGGTTGTCCTCTGCAGCACCTTGTACTCCTGCAGCTCATCAAGGAGACGGTCCACTGCTGTGGCTGATTGGACCTCTCTTGTGGCTGCAGGAAGCTGGCAGAGGAGAACTCCCACAACACCTATCTGCATATGGTTTGCTTTTTTAATACCTGCATTCATTTGTCCTGTAGATTCTGGTGACGACTTTAAGTTGGCTTTAGATACACAATAGTCCCTCGTTTATTGCAGGGGATCCGTACCCTGAAGCCCAGCGATAGGTGAAAAACAACAAAGTAGGAATAGTAGTACAAGTTGTAAGTAGTATATATATATATATATATATATATATACACATATATATATATATACACATATATATATATATATGTATATAAGGCATTTTAAACCCTTCCCACACTCTTGCAATATTCTAAACAATGTTTCTAAACTCTAAACGCTCTAAAAGACACAGAATATCATAATCTTTGCTCCCTGCCTCCTCTGCTCTTTGCCACCTGCAAGCATTCTTGGCCACGCCCACTTCTCAACTTTGCATGCAGAACAGCTGATCAGCTGCAGCAGAAAGTTTACCTGCTGTGAGGGCTGCACAAAAGTGTAGCAGGTGCTAAATAATTTAAAATAATGCATTTTAAATAAAAATTCCATACCCATCGTGCGGCTCATCCATCAATCAGCCAGTTGTGTGTCATGTCCAATCTTATTTTGAAAAACCGCGATAGAGCGAGTCCATGATAAACGAACCGCGGTGTAGTGAGGGACTACTCTAGTTTGTTTTTTCATCAGGTGTTTCAAACCTGAACAGTTTTTTTTTCCCCAACTTAAAAAGATCAAAACATGAAAGTGGATGTTTTTCTCTTGGTTGACTCGTGAGTTGTTGTTTTTTTTCACCTTCCGTCAAATTCACTTCATTTCCATGCTACATTACAACTAACAATGTTGTAGCTGAGGTGAAAAGATCATTTGCATTCAGTTCCTTGAATGTCATTTTCAGTTAGGAATGGCGCTGTAACTCCATCCTACGCCGGGCTTCCTGTTCACAGGGAGTCATTTCTCTCCACTGTCGCCCACTGCTCCTTTCATGCTCAGACTGAACGACTCAGTCAAAGCAAAGATTGATGCAAACTGCTGATTTCTTTAGATGAAGAATATTTTAATAATTGATTTCTGTGATTTACTGAATCTTACAATCTTGTGTCATAATTCATCTGCTCCCTCTGGCGCCCTAGATAGCAGCTCTCTGCTCCACACAGAGGGCTGTGGTAGCTCGGTGGTCTGTGGTTGAGTCAGGAAGGACATCCGGCCTAAAAACAACTAAGTCTTCATGCGAGTTAGTTCAATGTGACGACTCCTGAGGAAGGGAGCAGCAAGAAGAAGAAGACAATGATGAAGAAGATTTTGATTTTTAACTAAACTTTATTTATACAATACGTTAACACAACAGTGTTACAAAATGTGATCAGAACAAGCTTAAAATAAAATATTTACACGAGGAGCTTGTTGTACTGTAGTTGTCCCTGATCAGAAATGGTGCATAAAACCTTCTTAAATCTCCACAATTTCACAAAGTTCTCCAGGTGTCCGGTGTCTCTGTGGAAGCAAAACTCCAACGCCAGCCTGGCCTTGACGCTGCACCTCCACAGAGCCACGGCATCAAGTTGGGGTCCAGCCTGCGGTTTGTCCCTGCAAGACAAGTAAACAGCCATTTTTGCTTCGGCCACTAAAAAGTTTAAAGTTTGGGATTTAAACTGTGTCTTTGCTGCGATGTACTCCATGGATAAAAACAGATTTGGTGAAAAGCGTGTCAAAAAGGCTAAAGATCCTCGTCATTAGATTAAACAGAGCCGTCAGCCGTGCACAGTTTGTAAAAACATGAAAAACACTCTGAGGCAAACTGCAAAAAGGACGCTCGTTTAAAACATCAGGATTGACCGACCAAAAAGAGTTTGTTGCGATTGCGCCGTGAAGGATCCTCCATTGAAGATCACCAGTCAGTTTTTTTTGTTGGAGGTTTGTAAAGAGTCCTCCACTGGGGCTTCTGACCTCCGAGCATGTCGTCCCACACGCTGACAGCTCTGTTGTGCAGAGTTCTCTTGTTCAGGATCTTAACCGAAGTCTTATAAGGTTCTTTTGGACCCATTCTGCACATCCACCTTTGGGTCTATGATGCGTAGCAGAGGACCATTGTCTTTCACAAAGTTAAAATCCATGTGGATGTCCGGAAAAGGGTCTTTTGTGTCAGACAGGCGATTCCCCGTGGGCCACAGCTGCAGGAGACGCTTCTCTCCAGCTGTCATCCTCTCCTTCACCAGGTCCAGGAAGTGCTGCACCAGACTGGCAGACCGGACCCCAAGCAACAAAACCACCTCTCGGACGTTGGCGAAGTTTGGTTCGGTCGTTTCCACCAACCGCCTCAGATCACCATCCCAGATTCGCACAGTGCCTTTGACAGACACGGCACCCAAGACCAAGAAGAAGACCAAGATGAAACCAAGATGAAGACCAAGAAGAAGACCAAGATGAAACCAAGAAGAAGACCAAGAAGAAGACCAAGATGAAGACCAAGATGAAGACCAAGATGAAGACCAAGA